TGGGAAGGACTTAAAGAGGTCTTGGGGGGCACTGGGAGAGACTGGGAGGAACTGGAAGGGGAATGGGGGGCACTGGGAGGGATACTGGGGAAGACTGGGAGCGCTGGGCAGGGCAGTTGCCCGGGCCCTTGACGCTTCCAGTGCTCCCAGTTTGCCCAGTTGGCTCGGCTGCAGCGGGAACTGGGCCATGAGGCCTTTCCACTGGTGCCACAGCGCTTCTGCAACCGGCCCCGGGGACTGGTGAGCACTGGGAGCGGACTGGGAGGGACTGGGAGCACTGGGATCTATTTTGGGATGAGTGGGTGGTGTCACCGGTGTTACTGGTGTCAGTAGTGTGTTACTGGTGTCACTGGTGTGTTACTGGTGTGTTACTGGTGCGTTACTGGTGTGTTACTGGTGTGTTACTGGTGCGTTACTGGTGTGTTACTGGTGTGTTACTGGTGCGTTACTGGTGTGTTACTGGTGTGTTACTGGTGCGTTACTGGTGTGTTACTGGTGTGTTACTGGTGCGTTACTGGTGTGTTACTGGTGTGTTACTGGTGCGTTACTGGTGTGTTACTGGTGTGTTACTGGTGCGTTACTGGTGTGTTACTGGTGTGTTACTGGTGCGTTACTGGTGTGTTACTGGTGTGTTACTGGTGCGTTACTGGTGTGTTACTGGTGTGTTACTGGTGCGTTACTGGTGTGTTACTGGTGTGTTACTGGTGCGTTACTGGTGTGTTACTGGTGTGTTACTGGTGCGTTACTGGTGTGTTACTGGTGTGTTACTGGTGCGTTACTGGTGTGTTACTGGTGTGTTACTGGTGCGTTACTGGTGTGTTACTGGTGTGTTACTGGTGCGTTACTGGTGTGTTACTGGTGTGTTACTGGTGCGTTACTGGTGTCACTGGTCCGTTACTGGTGTGTTACTGGCGTGTTACTGGTGTGTTACTGGTGTGTCACTGGTGTGTTACTGGTGTGTCACTGGTGTGTCACTGGTGTGTTACTGGTGTGTTACTGGTGTGTTACTGGTGTGTTACTGGTGTCACTGGTTTCCCCAGGTGACCGCCCCCACCTTCCCCATGACGGTGACGCTCAGCCCCGCCCCCGCCGGGATGGGACAGGTGAGGCCCCTCCCCTCCCCCCACCCGTGGGCGTGGCCATTCTTGGGTGTGGCCGGGTGTGGGCGTGGCTTTGGGTGTGGCCAGAAGGGCGTGGCTTGGTGGGAGTGGTCCTGACGGGCATTTCCATCCCTGTCCCTCTGTCCTTCTGTCCGTCTGTCCATCCCTGTCCCTGTCCCTCTGTCCCTCTGACCCTTCTGTCCATCCTTCTCCATCCTTGTCCATCTGTCCCTGTCCCTCCTGTGTCCATCTGTCCATCCCGTGTCCATCCCTGTCCGTCTGTCCCTCTGTCCATCCCGTGTCCGTCTGTCCATCCCCTGTCCCCCCCGTGTCCCCCTGTCCCCCCCGTGTCCCCCTGT